AGCATGCTGAATTTACGGGTAAAATTCAGCCTCAGAGCAGAATTAAGCAGGCAAGCTAACATCAAAGCTTTGTTTCATCATCTTTAGACTGATCTGTCGGAAAGGACAGCTGGTCCTTATTAAACACCCTTTAAATGTTGCAGTTTTAATTAAGTAACATCCTTGTTATATTAACATTACCAAATAATTAACTACAGAAAAGTCAGCATCATCTAATCATGAGCTTAACAGCTTTTCACCAGTGGACTATAAAGTATTAATCTATTAAAGCAGAACTTGTTCTTAAATAAGTGTCTCAAGTTTTTAGATTACCAAGTGTGATACAGCAGTCACTACTCTTACTCAAAAGCAGATTTTTGGGCAAGTAAGGCAGTGAGTGGATTTCAACATCTAAACTAAGGGATATGATCTAGAGAGGAAATTAATCAGGTCTGTAACAGTCCTATTTAGACTTCAGCTGCAGAGACCTTGTTAAGGCACAGAATCAGAGAATAGTTTGGGTTGGAAGGGGCCTTCAAAGATCATCTAGTCCAACCCCTCTGCAATGAGCAGGGGCATTTTCAACTAGATCATAAGTCAATAGCCTATGAATTAGAATCACATTCAAATTCCCCAATTCCACAGAAACATGCAAGGGAATAGACATTTTGCTAACACTGAGAGCTAGTTTCAATTGCATAAGCAGGCTAATGCTTCTATTATTTTGTTCTCTAGGTGCTGTGTCTGAATATGATTTCTGAAAACCCAGTATTTAAACTGCATAGCTTCAGAGCTCCTGAGGAAACATTCACAGAATCATAGAATCATCTAAATAAGCACTAAGTAAGCTAAATAAACACTTTGTGCATTTTTAAGTCAACTTTAATAGGTAGATGGTCATCAGTACTTTCTGACACTGCAGTAAAAATAGGGTCACATTCTCTACTACATTACTTGATAAATGAAACTTAAAAATCACCAAACCTGGAATGAGCTTGAAGCCAAATTTTAAGCTAAACAAAAGTGATACAGATGCCTACCTGCATGACTGACCATGCTTGCAAAGCCTTGCACTCAACATACTGCATTGTATCCAATCAGAGAAACACACTCTGCTTTAAATGACACATCGAATCAATTCTGAAAGACTATCACATTCTTCCATAGGCCAAAGGAGAGAAATCTACTGATTCTAAAAACTCCTAAAAAATGGAGGATACAGAACTGCTGGCATCTGGTCTGCAGAGCTTTCAGCCAACTCTGGAAGTGTTAGATTAAAGAACACCCTGATGGCAAACATTAACACCTTCCACCATGCTTCAACTTAGGTCTGTGTTTCGCTCAATACCCTTTACAATTTGTAACTACTCTGCAAGAGAAAATCTGATTTTAACTGTTAGAAAATAATAATTAAAAAAAGGGGAGAAATTTAAACTTTGGTAAATTATCTCTTATCATTTTACAGGGTATTTTTCCTCCTAAATAAAGTTCCCAAAACATGTATTTAGTTGGGAAAATTATTTCAGTATGACCTAGCTCTGTGCTTAGAAAATCCTGTAAAGAATAAGTGTGTTCTGGGAGGGATGCCTGACGGGATAAATGTAGGGACATAGCAGCATGAGGCTAAAGAATAAAGAGACAGGCAGTGCTCCTGACAGTGGAACGGTAGGAAATGGTGGTCTTCAGAGTCTGCTCTGAAACAGAAAAGGAAATAGCAAGCTACTTAAATAAAGATGACAGAGGGAGAGTTTCAGGGAAGAATGCTCAGGAACAGAGAACCCCAGTACATACAATAAGCTTTGCTTAGCAAAGGAAAGTACAACTCTCTGCTAATGGGGGGGATAAGGTGGGTGTCTGCTAAAATGCTGTATTATTTATTCTTTTTCATCCTACAGTCTCATTAAATTTAAGCTTTATACTGAACATGGCTCAGTGCCAGGAACTTCAGAGGAATTAAACACATGAAAAAAATTACTCATGTGTGCAGTCCCATTAGAATCTACACAACAACTTGAGAGTAAAGTTGCTCATGTGTTTAACACCAAATAAATGAATCTGAAATACATTCAACTCATCAGAGTCCCCGTCTGTCTTCTCTGTACACTTTACGGCTTGTTTATAGCATGAAAAAAATTCAGAGACTGCTTTTCCAGAAGAGCTTCCCATGTGGACATACTTATTCTAGATTAAAAGGGGCCCTTCCCTGATTTATTTTTTCTGGATAAAGGTATGCATATGATGTAGTACGGCCATGCATATGGAAAGACTACCCATATGGAAAGCTACTTTGCAATACTATTCTGCTTCAAGTGAACCTTAATCTGAAATAACATTCAATATAGGAATACATTAAAATTTCTGTTAAACATCAATGAAAGAAATCCCAGATGTAGGAAAGTCAATCCAAATTCTAAAACCCAGGGCCCGCTGAAATCACTGATAATTCTCCGCAACAGTAACGTTAAGTTACTCATCCTGCTGTTAACTTCTTTCCTGCTGCAAACATATGTTGATCTTGCAAGACAAATGCCAGAATATTACTAGAGAAAGTGATTAATACAATGGAAGTGGTTTAAAAAAACACATCTCTGAACACTTTAGCTTTGAAAACATTAGCTATTAACAATGTTGTCAGAAGCTATGAACCAAAACATCAAATACTTCCTCACCACATTCTTTCAATCATAGTCCAGTAAAACATTCTCATCAAGTCAAGCTTTTACTCCTACAAAATACTGAGGAAACTTAAACCTGTATTTTGTAGAGTGAAATGAAGATGAGTATTACTGCATTAATGTACCAGGGTGAAACACAGATTTCCAAAAACAACATTCAAACAATAAAAACTCGTTTGGGTGGGAAGAGCACCACACAGTCATAGTTTTGGCAGCGGAAAGTATCCAACTTGTGTTTCTAAATCTACATACAAACACCCAGCTACTTACATCTTATTTCTCCTTAAACAACTAGTAAAGGTTAACTGATACTTTTCTAGATTGTTTATTTATGCCACTGAGAATTACCTCAATTCAACTGTTTCATTTAATGCAATCTAGACATTTTTACTTTCTGTATAAGGAAGGTTAAGATTTATTCATGCCCTTAACATACATTAATTAGACACTACCTATAAATAACCTGCAATAAGAGTATCTATTTGAATAGGATACAATCACTTCAGGGCTTGTGTCTTTTCAATCAGTCAGTGTCCCTGCAGTGTTTAGAGTGGCAGAGGGGAAGCGGCCTGTGGTTAAACAGAGGAAATACCAAGGAATTTTAATAGAGCAAATAGTCTCTTTACTTCCTACAGGGTACTACTTCAAAGGCAACCCTGCTCCAGAGCAGACAATGTGTTAGAGGGGCCATCAGTCATTTAATAGTATGTCAAGTCTACTCAAAACTTACATGCAGACCAAGATAAATAGCACATAACTGAGACAATGGGTACCATCCTGCAGTCATTACTCTAACAAATGCTGCCCAGCCCTAGTTTTGAAGACAATCATAAGACAGACTGGTATTACAAAATCAGACTATGAAGTTAAAACTAAACAGTCAAGATACCTAATAAATTGGTGAGGGAAGTCTGAACTTGAAACTGAAAATATAATAAAACCAGAAACACATGCAAATATTTAATAAGCTAAACTGTTACATAGGTTGTGAGGAATACAGACAAAGGGCGGCTTAAGCTAATTGGAAAGTGTGATTTTTGCTGATCTAAGAGACAGCCAAAATAATTAAATTAAAATAATTGTACTGCAGTACATTCAGGTTTCATACACACAACTGTATTATGTAAGCAAAACCAAATCCAATACAAACTGCATCCGAGTATTTCTATAAAGGCCAAAATACACTAATCAAGTGTTACAACTTTTTAATAGCGATAATTTACTTGATAGCTGATGCAAAACTTGACAGAAACATGCACAGCGGTGGTTACGAGCCCGTGCAGCATCCTGCCCACATCTGGCGAAACATACAATAGACACACTGCGCCAAAACATTTTATTCCTCATTCTCAGTTAAAAAGACCTAACAGGGGAATGTAAACCTTAAAGGAGTTCCAACCAACACAAAGATTCAGGTCTTAAGCTTTATCACGATTTGAAGTTTGGTTTTCCACACTTTTTTTTTACACATTTTCCAATGCTTTCGCCTTATTAAACTATGCCCTACAAACTCCTGAGCTGCGTGTTGCTGTAACGTTCTCGAAGGAGGTGATCTAAGACCAAGAAAATCCTTAGTGACAGTCTAACAAAAAGGAAAAGCAATGAAAGTCAGTTCTGTTCCCTCTAGTTCCTGGATCACCACGCTTCAACTACGCTTGTAACTACACATCGGCAGAAAGGAAAGAAAAAAGAGCACACACAAAAAAAACACATCTCAAAGTTATTTAGAAACACACACACAAAACAGGGACAGCAAACAAGAAAAGTCTGACAGAAAAACACACCAGAAACAGGAACAAAAGGCGAAGACCAAGTAACAAAACGTTTATCACCTTCCTCCCCCTTTCCCCCTCCCGCAAATTTCCTACATCCTCTGTATAATGATCAGGCCTGAAGCTAAGACCCCAAGCCGGCCTCGCATCATTAAAATAACAAAGCCCAAGAGATCGCTTTTATCCTCCTCGCAGCGCAGGTCGACCTAAGGAAGGCGAGAGCTGGTGGCGAAGGACCTGTCGAGTGACTTTTTGGCCCTCCCTGGTTGTGGACTGCCTCCCACCCCCGGGCGAGACACCCGTACAAGTCCCTTCCCGGGACATGCCACCCTCTCTCCGGGCCGCAAGTTAACGAACTGCCAGACGCAGCGCCCCGGGGCAGCTTTATCAGTGGCCGAGGGCACTTTCCCCGCGGCAGCAGCCCGCTGCCCCATGGGGCCGTGCCCACCCTCAGCGGCGCTCCCCGGTCAGCGCCCGGCAGCTCTCGGCACCCCCCTAACACACCGCACCCCGCGAACGCGGCTGCCTGAGCGGGGGACCGAGCAGCAACAGCGCTCCGCTCCGCTCCACTCACCCTCCCTCCGCAGGCTTCGGCTGCTGCCCCCCTCCTGCCGCTGGCTCCTCCAGCGGCCCCAGCGGGCTGGTGGCCACCGAAAGAGGCGACAAGGGCGAAGAGGAGAGAGCCGAGCTCCAACCCCGCTGCCATGGCACGCAGCAAGCCCCACACCACCGGGGCTCAGGGGCCACTGCCGCCGCTGTGTGCATGCGCGCTACCGGCCGGGGCGGGGGGCTCCTCCCCGCCTGTGCCCGGCCCGGCCCCACCGCCCCCCGCGGGACGGCCCCTCCCCGGCCCCGGCCGGGGGCTCGGCGGCACCAGCGCCTCCCGGCGCACCTCCACGTGTGCTCCGCGCCCGGGCAGCGCTCCGTACGCGGGGGCCCTCTCCGCCAGACCTCAGCGGGCTTGTGTCCCCTCCGCAGCATAACGGGGGCACCAGCACCTGATCGGCCGCCCCCGGCCTCCTCTTCGCCCGTGCGATACTGTGTTACTGATCCCGTCACACCCAGCAGCGCTGGGTACAGCTCACAGAAACCTACGGGTTTGGGCTTCTCACGAGGAGGAAAGGATCGGTGGCACTTCACTGTCGGGGGTGATCTTCATAGTGGCACAGCCCAAGTATGCAGCACCATCAGGGCCACTGGCCAAAAATCATAGATCTTTCACAACTAAAGAGTAATGCATTAACTAAAGCCAGACAAGATGGAGGAATATACTATCACAGAATCACAGAATGGTTTGGGTTGGAAGGAATCTTAAAGCTCATCCAGTTCCAACCCTTGCCACGGGCAGGGACACCTTTCACTAGTCCGGGTTGCTGGAAGCCCCATCCAACCTGGCCTTGAACACTGGAGAACCTGTGCCAGCACCTCAGCACCCTCCTAGAGAAGAGCTTCCTAACATCTGATCTACATCTCCCCTCTGTTAGTTTTAAAATTCCAGTTGCAGAAATTGAAACAGAAGCTCTATGTAGCAATAAATACTTCAGCTTTTTCAGTTGTCATCTCTACCATTAATTTTGGCATTAACATGCTTTGACCAAAGCATTTTTAATAGAAAATAAATCACATTTCTAATAGATTTCAAATGCAACTTACTCTGATACGCCAGTGAATTGTATCAAGTACAAACCCTTCACCTGAAATTCTCCAAGTCAGGTAAGAAGAGAGAAGCCCAAGGCTCTTCTGAATAACAGAGCCACAGCATAATTCAGCTTGGAAGGGACCTCAGGGGGTTGTTAGGTCTAACCATCTGCTCTAAGTAGGCCTAACTTCAGGTTCAGATCAGGTAGCTCAGGGCCTCATCATACATCACCTTTACACATCACAACTCCAATGATTTTTGAAACTTTTGATATTTGGCAAATCCAGTATTATAAAAGACCCTATAGTTTGGATTACAATAGTATGGGAAAACACCACTAAGCCAATCAGTTGAAAGGATACGCGACCAGTTGGCAATTTTTAAACCTGCTCTGGTTTTACCCCTGTCAAAGGGGTTTCCATCCTTTGTGACTATTGCAAAAATAACACAATAAAGCTCTCCTCAGCTGCTGAAGTCCATGAATCACAGTTACCTTTGAAAAAAGGTTTGTGACTTCTGGATGGCCGTAGCCCTGCTTCGTGACATGAAAAGAAATTCTTGCCATTGCACATTTTTCAGCACAAATTGGAGATTAGACTGTAGTCCTTTTAAGGCCCTGGGAACAAGGGATGCTTATTTTCCATCTCCATTTCCTCCGCAGGCTGGAATTCTGAAAACAGGGATGTTAAAACTACTCATTCTGTAGGTGGCATTTCACTGACTTTACAGTGAGATAGATGTCTTCTGAGGCCAAGTATGTCCCAGACCAGAATCAAAGTCTAGCTGATGTTTTTTCACTGTATACCATCCACTTCTGCTCTACTGTCCCCTTGCATTACCTACAACTGACCAAGCAGGCTTGGAAACTATATAAGCTTTTTTTTTTTTTAACCAAGTCAGGCTGTATAAAATCTGTGAGCAACTGGTCCTTTTGTGTTTTGATGCATTACAAAGGACAAAGCAACACTACATCATGGCTGAAGAAAGGAAGACATACACACAATTTCTTTACAGGACAATAATACCTCTGCTGCCCACAACCACCTGTGAGAAACAATGACTTTTTGCTGAACACATTGCTATTGATATGCAAACAGATCTAAATTACAGGGAAATCAGTTTGGCTTTTCTGTTAGCAGAGACCGAGGCTGCTGGAGAAGCTGAAACTTTTAAGTGAGAACTCAGGAAAATTAGCATTATCTGTGCTGCTGCTGCATTAGCCTGCAATGATTTTAATATAAACAAAGACAGACTGAAGAGTGACATTTCCCAGGGAGCAGAAAAACTACAGAACTCTTTGATACCACTGGTCACACTGGCAGCACCCAGAAAGCGGCAGAATTATAAGTCTTACTTACTGAGACCTCAACTTACAAGCACAGAGCAAAGATGCTGACAAAAACATCGCTGATGCCTCTTTCCCCATAGTTAAGCTAAAACCAAAATGACACATCTGAAAAGAATTATCTCCATAATGCCACCAATGTCTAACTTAACTGACATGAATGAACTGACTGAACACAGTATTTCATTGCTTAGCATGCATTCAGAATAATTTCCATTGCAATTTTTTGTGGGAAAGAGTAGGGGAGAGGTGGGAATCAGATGACAGCAGTTAACATTTTTAGCTAGATTCTCCAAAATGCTGCTAGCTAATGGAAGGGCAGAAGTGGTTGTGGGGACTCTGCTTTTCTGTAGGCTCTTTTGTCCTTCTTACAACAGTCTCTTGTTTCCAAATAGTATAGAATGTGTAATATCCAAAAGTCATGGGTATCAATATCATGCATTCTACAGCTGGTTTTGGTTGTCACTCTACCTTTTTTGCTTAAAGCTAAAAACCGTTTTTTTCTGCCCTTCTCTTAGCAGCTGTTCCCAGATGGAGGGGACAGTGAGAACACAGCAGTTCCTATAAAAACATGAAAACTCATGTAATTAAAAAGGTCTGATAATATGGTTAAAATTTACCTAGCGTATTTTTCTGTGACTCAGCAAAATTCCTTCTTAGACTTGGAAGTTGTATGCTCCATCCATACTTTGTATTTCTAGCACAGAAACCTCTTCCAAGAGAGACCAACCTTTACCGCAAAGGAGTTAGGAAAACCACGCACTTTTGGGCCAGAAAGCACACATCGTGCTTGTAGAAGTCTTCAGCTTAGTCCGACAATCACAACTATTGCAGTATCACATTCTGTTAGAGATAACCACCACCCACTGTTAGGAAGCGAGGATGAGCTACAGCAAACCAAGCAAAGTGCTCAAAGATCAGCAGCATCTCAGAAACCTCTTACCGGTCTGCAATCACAAAGTATCATCTCACTTTCCATAAAAGCACAAATAAGATCCCAGAATAGAAACCCCACAATGTGAGGGTCTTCTGGAACTTCATCTGGCAGATACTGGAAAGCAGAAAAACAGATCTTTTGAAAATAACCACTTATACTAAAGTGTCCCACTGGCATGGGGGTGGTTTACCTGTGGAATGAACATCTAGCATAAAAAGGAAGAAAGATCTTCCAATATCAAACATTAAGAGCAAAATCAGAAAGTGTGAAACGGATGTGGATACTCTTAGCAAAGTCATGAACATTCCCACCAGTGTCACGGGTTCCAAAATTTCTACTCTCATGGAATCTTCCATATTACGACGTGCCATAGTTTCAACAGGTCTGGCTAAGCTTTAAGTGAAGGATTTTCAGCTGGTAAGACAGTGACCCCAGGCCATAAAAGTGAATTGAAATTTGAATCAAATCTATCAATTGTTATGAATACTTCCCTCGCTCAAGGCAACTTTTAAACCAGTAGGCCTTGAGAGAAATGCTAAAAATTCATTGAACACCGAGTTCTGAAAAGAAAATCTGCATTACTAGTTTCATTTTATAGATGGGGACGCTTAGGCATAGAGCCATAAAGATGCCTGCTTTTATGTCTTGCACACATGCTCCAGGCTAAACCAGTAATTAGATTTGGAGTCAGGAAAGCCCCTGCCCCCTGGTAAGACCAGAAAAGACCCCTGTGTGTAGTGGGCTTTGTTTTTAATTTGCTGCTTTCTGTAGACACACACACTACTTCCTAAGGTCATCCACTACCAGTGGGTGCTTAAAATAGTGTGGGCCATGGAGCCCAGATCTAGCCTTCAGAGAAATTCCATCCAACTGTCTGCTTCTGTCCTGTGAGTGGCAAGGAGCACAGCACGCTGTCCTGGCAGCCAGCTGCCTCCTGCTCTCTCCAGACATTTATTGGCACTTCTGGAGTAGCTGCTGCTGTGTCCAGATGGACTTGAAAGTGCAATTAGATGCATGAATTGTGCTTTGACGCTGGCAGCCACCACTTGTATAACCAGATGCTTTGCAACAAGTCCTGAAACTGAGCACGAGTCCTTAGTGTGGAGTAAGTTAGAGGTTACAAACCTCTTGTAATGTACTGGCAGTAGTCCTTCTCACTGCTCACTTTTTATGTCACACTGTCACGTTTGAGCTTTTTTCTTAGAAAGCTCAACTTTATCTTCAGGTATTTGGGGATGTTTTGAGGCATGTAGTGTTCAGAGTGAATGAAGAGTGAATGGTCTTGTGACCTTTCTGGATGACTTAATGTCATATATATATATGACATAATATATAATACAGGAAATTGCATTTAATGACAAGGAAGTTTCAGTCCTATATTCCTAAAGGTTCAAGTTAGTGTCAGATGTAGGTTATGGTGAAAAGGAACTGACTAAAATAAATCAGTCATTATATGAAAATTACCTCTGATGACCTTCAAAATAACAATTTATCAGTGATCCATGGATGCAAATCTTCATATAATGTTACCACTCCCCATACTGCAGAGTTCTCTGTATTGCATACAGGCCAGCTTGTTCTGCTGGCAGAGAACGTTTGCAGTCAGATGTCAAATCCGTATTTCGGTTTTGTTTTGCATCTGTTTATTCACATGAACATAATAAAGTTACAAACGGTTCTCAGAAATGATTCAACTTACTGATGTGCCACCAAACACACTCCCCTCCCTGCTCCAAAAGCACACTGCATTGACTCACTCTGTGGCCACATGTCTTTTCAGAGGGAAGGAGGAGCAGGGCAGGACTGCATCTTTCAGCAGCAATCTTCTGTTACACTGGATTAGATGTAACATGAAACTATACTTTCAGAGAGAAGCAGATCTGTGATACA